TGCAAATGTATTCCAACTTTATAAAATGCTAAATAATAAAGATTTCCTTATAAAGTGTGTTTCATTAAGACGGATCAAAGTCAGCAGTAAATAAATCAGTGTTATTTTTGAAAATTTATTTATTTCTCTATTGGATCATGTTATTTAAGTCATAGCAATTATTTCTGAAAAAATAATATCGCCCAAATGTCCGCCAAGGCTTCGGTGGCACACCTCCACTCGATGATCAAAATTTTTGATGACGTCTCTGAAGAATTGCTCCTCGATCTCACCAATATGCCTTAATATCTCATCCTTCAGCTGTTGAATTGTCGTTGTGGTTTCTTGGCATAGACCTTTCTTTTTAGATGACCTCGAAGGAAAAATCTAAAGGTGTCAAGTCACACGATCGTGGTGGCCAGTTGACTTCGCTGTTCAGAAGGATAATGCGACCTGGGAACTTATTGCATTTCTGTTTGAACGTCCATTTTTGTAATAGGCTTTGATAGCTTTAACCCGTTTGATTGTTAATCTTTCCATGGTTGAAATTGCGAAAGACTTAAGTTGTTAAATCTGAAAGAAAAAGAAAAAAAAAATTATTAAACGCTTAAACTTAATTCACATTTAAAATCGGTCCAAGTTATTGGAACAGCCTAATTTGGTTGACATATTTTAGTATATTTTAGTAAATGTCTATAGATTATGAATAAAAGTTGTTTTCGAATTTATATCTTTAAATTGGTAAATGATAGATATTGCTTTGCATTCATTAGTCGTAGCTTTTAGAATGTTGTAAATATAAAATTATTCTTGTAAATAAACAATCTAATAAAAAATAAACAACGTTTAATATTTTGCTGTAAATACTCATGAACCAAAAAAAATATGTATAAATTCACTTTCATCATGTGTTTAGGTTTTGTTCCAATTCAGATCAACGTTTTTAAAACAATAAACTATGCCGAAGAATGAAGGTCATTAAAATAGAAGCATTATCATGGGAAAAACATACTTTTGATGCTTTCTTTTATTGATTGCCAAACTTTTATCTGAAGAATGTGACAAAATTCCAAATTATGAGAATATAGAATATTTTTTTTAATCATTTTACTCCATGCAAAGCGATAATGTTAATAAGACGCATAGAAGTACGGGGGTTAAAAGAGAATGAAAAGAGTTCAGGAAAATAGATGGCGATCGACTTTGCTTTTAAATTTTAGAAGATTGCAAATGGCAGGTAAGTGAGCAACATTCAAGAACTCCGAGAAAAGAATTGATTATAATGAAACATACTATTTCTACAGTAAAACGATGAGACCTAGTTTCCCCTCTAGTAGTACATTTAAATCCGTGTGGTTGAAGTACAAAGTAGTGCCATTAAAATATTTGTAGTAAAAACAGAGGGTGGGAAAATCAAAATCAAAATAATAAAAAAAAGGTGGTTAGAGAAAATAAAACACATTTGCATTGATTTTGTTTTTCTTCCTTGAGCTCAAAGATTTTTCTTTGTCATTTCACCACGAAGGAAGGTGATAAAGCCACTAAGACAAATGTGGTTACTGTGAGTAAAAGTATCAGAAAAAAAAATTATTTAGGAGAGCGGGAAATAAACGAAGATTATTTCAAGAAGACAGAAGATGGCGATTAATGTTTCATTTAAATTCTTGAACTTCGTAATTGACAGAAATCCCAAAAGCCGGAAGAGAGTTCCAGAAGCGAGAATTTTATTCTTTTTTCCCGCGGTTCCTTTCGATTCCTTTTTGTATGGTTTTATCGATTCTTTCTTCTTTTATGCACCGTCTCCTTTCAGAACTGTTTTATTGCGTGCTAATAGGAATATATATTTGGAAAACATGGTGGAACAAATAAGTAAAGGTTTATTGTAAAAATCTTTACAATAAGAATAAAGGTAACAGTTATGCACAAGGTCGTTGCAAGTCAATCCAATAGTGAGTGCTACTATTGGAAGGTCGGTAGTTCTCGCGTAAGTTTGCGTCTTACTCAACAGATCCCAGCTAGAATATTTAGCTACCCGCCACGAGGGTTGCATGTGGCACAAGGCCGGTTTAACGTGGATTCTCCGAGCCCGTAGGATCGGCCAAAATATTCCCTTTTTTGAACCCGTATAAACGGGTTCAGGGTCAGTCTACATCCCCGAACTAGACTCTGCCCTTCGGCGGAGGCTCGTCCGGGTTCCTCTCTGCCTGAAGACAGAGAATTCGACCGTCTAGCTGGAAGAGATCCCAGTTAGTCTCTGTAGTCCATTGACTTACAGATACTTATAGGTAGTTACTACCTATAGTGTAGTAACTCATGGGAGTGACAGGTTATTGCATTACATCTTGAACGTAGTCAATCATGGCCCTCCACATCTTCTTGTCTTTTGTAACTCTTAATAAGTTTTGTCTTTTTGTTATTTCTCCCAAATCTTGTTTTACCGTCCATTTTCTCAAGCTCATCGCGCTGTTTTCCTCTGTCCTCCTTTCCCTATATCTGTCCCATGAGTATCAGATTTTCCAAGCCCTCCTTCCTCGTTACGTGCCCCAGTAATTTCATCTACCTTTCCTGATGTTAAGTAAAAAGTATCCTTTTTTTCATTCTCTCCAAAACCTAGTCTCTGCTCACGTGTTCGGCACATGATATCCTTAGCATCCTTCTGTAGAACCACATTTCTGTTGCTTTAAGTCTCTTCCTCATCTTTGAGAAGATAGTCCAATATTCGTTGCCATACAGGACAGATATCACGTAACAGTTCATTAATCTTTTCTTTGTTTCCAACGAAACCTTCCTGTCTCATAATACTCTGCTTAGCTTTTGGAAGGCATCTTTGGCCATCCCAATACGTATGCGGATCTCAGTGTCGCACTTTCCGTGCTCTGTTAGAATACATTCACGGTGAATGTTAGTACATCATTTGATCTATCGCCTAATAAATGAAATCACCTCACTCAAAGAAGGGCAGGGCCTCAAAAATCGTCAGATACGCCGCACAAGTAGTGACACTTTATTCGCTTCATTTGCGGCATTTCAGCTAACAGTGGGCGGGAAAAGTATGTGCCTCGGTCGGTGGATTAAAAAGCCATATTAAATTTGACTAAAATGTTTAATGTAAAACTACTGTAAAAGCGGCAATGTTTCTAAAGTTGTACAAGAGAATATAAGACCTCAGCAAGAAAAAAGTAAATAAATAAATAAAAATAAAACATACACGAAAATGAAATCCTCCCTGCTCATATGTGAGGATAAATCCAGCGTGAGCATTACTCGAAGTCGGGTCGCAGCTATCATAAGTCTATACGTAGCTGATTACTTATATGTGTACTTGCAAAGGGAACTTTGATGTCGCGTAATGTCTAGCTTGTCTCACTAGATCAATTACAGCTGAGTAGTGAGTTCGATCTTCACTGGGTGCCCCATATTTGCTGCTTTGTACTAAATCTATACTACAATTAGAAAACCATTTGGGTACGCCGACATGGTGAAATGTTTAGCAAAATTTCCTCCCTACATCAATTACGACTGAGTTCGCGGTAGCCGGACGCCCGTAATGCGCCTCGGAAGGTAAGTGCGTAAATCCGTCGAAGGCCTTCGTTCGCGGTAGCCGGACGCCCGTAATGCGCCTTGGAAGGTAAGTGCGTAAGTCCGTCGAAGTTGTTGGCCGGCCTTCGTTTGCCGTCGCTGGACGCGCGTAATGCGCCTCAGCAGTAGTCGGCGATAAAACTTTCCGAACGAAGTCCTGTGTTTGATACTCACTGCGTGCTTCATACTATCGGGATTTGTGCCACATCTAAGCTACGCGTTGAATATTATTTGGTCACTTCAACGCTGTGTAATGGTTAGCAAGCTTGTCTCCATAGATCAAGTACGACTGAGAAGTGAGTTCGATCCTCACTGGGTGTCACATACTTTCGGCCTGGTTTCAGATCTAAGCTACGCTGAATCTAGCGATATCATTACTCGAAATGGAAACGCAGTCATCAAAAGTTTATACGTATTTGCCTACTTATATTTGTACAGGCAAGGGCACTTCGGTAGGGTGGAATGGACTGTAAGCTTGTCCCGCAATATCCGTTACGACTGAGGGTGTTGGGATATGCGTTGTGGTGGGGGATGTGTGTTGTGCGTAATCGTCTCGGAGTGAGAACTTGGAAAGCCGAAGTTCGAATTCGTGTCGAGTTCGTTGGATTCACTTACGCACAAATATCCTTGGGAAAGGCATGAACCCATTTCTTCTCCCCTCAGCTATGGGTTGAATAGCAGGAAAGACCGGGTTCTATAGACTTGGTTGGCAACCAGCCTACCGCACAAAGAACTGACAACGTACTGCGGGGAAAAAGAAAAAAAAATCTGCCTCGACAGTCATGTATCGAAAGATACATGATCGCCCAAGCGTGTATCACGTATGACACTAAACTGACTGACTGTGTTCGATCTTCACTTCCAGCCACATATTTTCATCCTTGTGCCACATCTAAGCTACATTTAGAAAATCATTTGATCACATCACATATGTAGACGTATTAGCCTGCGTAGAAGTGTGCGTGCACATATAAGCAGGCTAATGGTTAGCAAGATTGTCACGATAGATCAATTCCGAGTTTAGTCCTCACTGGGTTCCCAATACTTTTCTATGTTTCGTAAATCGCTGCGTGCGTCAATACATGCATTCAATTGTGTATAAGCATGTGTATATACTCATATGTATGCATTTTTGTCGTACAGTGTTTCCCGCTGTGTTCACGAGCTTTTTTTTTTTTTTTTACCAGACAGCTGTCATGTCTGATGTATCGCGGAAGATTATTACATTTTGTGCAAACCAGTTTCTGCTTTAATATCATTTACCACCGAAATTTACCTTCTTTCTTCCTTGTCTTCTGTAAGGATTCTTCTTTAGTTTTACTTTTTGACCACCGCACCACCAACCCCCCACCCCCTCATTTTCTTACTGGACCTTCTTTTCTTTTTTTGGTCTGTTCCGGTTATTTTCTTTTAGGTATGATTTCTTTCTTTCTAACATTGATATGAAATTATTTCATATCTATCTATCTATCTATCTATCTATCTATCTATCTATCTATTGCAGTCTGTTCATCATCTATCTATTTCAGTCTGTTCATTATCTATCTATCTATCTATCTATCTATCTATCTATCTATCTATCTATCTCAGTCTGTTCATTATCTATCTATCTATCTATCTATCTATCTATCTATCTATCTATCTATCTATCTATGTATTTCAGTCTGTTCATTATCTATATATGTATGTTTCTATTTATTACTGTATGTCTGTATGTTCAAAAATATGTATAATAATTATTGAAGTATTCAGAGATCTATCTATATCTATCTATAAAATGGTACAAGGAAGACAAGAAGGAAAACATAGCGACTGTATGTTCAGGCAAGATTGTTTGGGAAAGAAACTTACGTCAATATTTACTTTCAAAGGAAGGATAGCGATAGACAGATGATGCTTACATAAGAATGATAAAAAAAACAAGATTCAGAGCACGTTCATATCATCTTTCTTTCTCACCCTTTTTCTTTCTGCTTTTCTTTCACTATCTATCTATCTATCTATCTATCTTTCATTCACTGACTGTATGTCTGTATATTCAAAATATATCTATAGTAATTATTAAAGTATACATAGATCTATCTATCTATCTATCACTGACTGTATGTCTCTATGTTCAAAATATATCTATAGTAATTATTAAAGTATACATAGATCTATCTATCTATCTATCTATCTATCTATCTATCTATCTATCTATCACTGACTGTATGTCTGTATATTCAAAATATATCTATATTAATTATTAATGCATACACAGATCTATCTATCTATCTATCTATCTCTCTATCTATCTATCATTGACTGTATGTCTCTATGTTCAAAATATATCTATAGTAATTATTAAAGTATACATAGATCTATCTATCTATCTATCTATCTATCTATCTATCTTTCACTGACTGTATGTCTGTATATTCAAAATATATCTATAGTAATTATTAAAGTATACATAGATCTATCTATCTATCTATCTATCTATCTATCTATCTATCTATCTATCTATCACTGACTGTATGTCTCTATGTTCAAAATATATCTATAGTAATTATTAAAGTATACACAGATCTATCTATCTATCTATCTATCTATCTATCTATCTATCTATCTATCACTGACTGTATGTCTGTATATTCAAAATATATCTATAGTAATTATTAATGTATACACAGATCTATCTATCTATCTATCTATCTATCTATCTATCTATCTATCTCAGTCTGTTCATATCTATCATAGTTTCTTTTTCATTTTTTCTTTCTTTTTCCTTCCTTGTTTACTGCTATCTGTTTTTCTTTCTTTCTAACTTACTTTATTTGCCTTTTTTTTTCTCACAATGATTTTTTTTTCAATTCTTTCTGTCTTCCCATCCATTTTTCTTTTATAATTTTCTTTACATTTCCTGCATTGTGATGTTCATTCCTTCTCCCAACTGCTTCTCCCAATGCTTTCAATGTTTCTTTTTACTTTTATGAGCCATCTCATTGTACCTTCATTCCTTCCTTGCTGTTTTATCACCATTTAAATCGTTTTTTTTTAATTATCTTTCTCTTTCTATCTCTTCATTTCTTGGTCGCATCGTTTTAATTCCTTCAATTAAGATTATTTTTATTTTTTCTCTTTTAATTCGTTGTTTTATTCTTTCTTCCTTGTCCTTTCCACTTTGTCACACTCTTTTTTTAATCTTGCAATCTTCTTTTTCTTCATTTTTATATTTTCTTCATTCATTCATTTCTTTCTTTCTTTTTTTTCTTTCTTTCTTTCTTTCTTTCTTTCTTTCTTTCTTTCTTTCTTTTACCTTTGCATACTTTTTCGTCTATCTTGTTCTTCCTTTTTTCGTTCTTTCTTTTTTCTTCCTTCCTTTCTTTCATTGTTTCTTTCTTTCTTTATTTCTTTTCTTTCATTTCCTTCGTATAAAAATATATTCTTCCTTTTTCCCAACTACGTCTAATATTCCAAATCGGCTACCGTTTTTCTATATTGAGCAAATTCGTTTCAAAATTACATTTTTAACATTATCAGTGCTAATACCCAAACAGCCTCTCAATTGTCTGTCCTTGTGCCAGACTAAGCTAAGCTGAGTAAATAGCCACATTAAACATTCCTTTCTTTCATATTCCTCTCACCATTACATCCTGTACTTGCACCTCAGAAATTCCAACATGGCGATCTGATGGCCAATGTATCTTTTTTATTTATTTTTTGTCTAAATGTTGGAAAAAAGAGAAGGACGACACAATAAGTAATTTCACTTTCGGCAAGGCGATTCTCAGTTATTTCCTGGCAATATGTTCCTATAACACTTTTTCGTCTGCCAATATTTACATTCGTTTCTTGGTTATGAAGTGTTACGTCATTGTGTCAAGGCTTACGTCATGGGAATGAATGATAGATATCCAATATGGATGCATGGCAGCTATTCACCACCGACTGAACATTTCTGACTAAGCGCCGGAGCAACTCAGATAGAAGACAACTCAGGTCCGAAACAACCCAGAACAGGAGAGAAAAAAAAAGAGAACAAAACGTTTATTTATAACAGAATAAAAGTAATTTATTCAGCATTAAAACCTTTCCTCAAATAATGCATCTGAAAAGGCATTATGGAAAATATGAACCAGTTTTTTGTTAGTAATTATTTCTAATTAATTTAAATCAGAAAGATATTTATTTTATAAAAAAATAAATTGACATTTAAAAAATAATTCAGTAAATCATTCTTACACTATTCAAATTATTCGGACTATTGTCCTCATCTTTCTCACCATATTTATTACAACGTTTCGGTCATTGCACGTTCAGGCCTTCTTCAAGTAGTTGGAATGTCGAACTGAAACCTTTATTTCGCTCACTGGGGTAAACTGTTCTAATTCCATGTGCAATGTCCAATGGAAGTCAGTTATCTCCTGTCACTGGATCTAACTACCTTTACTAACTACCTTTATCCAGTGCGCCATGTGTCCTCAAGGACACAAGGCACAGTGGATAAAGGCGTTAGTTAGATCCAGTGACAGGACCCAAAGACTGTGAGACCTGGGTAAGGCAGTGGAGAACTTTGAGAAGGGAATTAAAAAGTAAATAAAATGAAAACATCTATTAACCGACTCGGCCACAAAGGAGCGTTCACGTAACATATCAAATGGTTGTCAGCCCCCTCGTTAATCGGTTAAGGCACGTCAGGGTCGTAAATGACGTGTTCCGTATAGGATGCAGGTTCGAATCCTGTCAAAGGACGAATATTTTACCACCTGAAAATTTCTCGGACATTCAGGCCGGTAAATGTTATTTAATACTGTTTATTATAAACAGAGATCATTTACTTAAATACTTGTATCTATAAAAGAATATTAAACATAAAATGTCCTTTATATATATTGTCGGACTTTTTTTATAGTCCAATTCTTAATGTATATATATATATATATATATATATATATATAGATAGATAGATAGATAGATAGATAGATAGATAGGTATAATTTAAATAAAAACAGACCACTTTAAGGTTCCATGTCATAAATTATTTCACCACAGCCCTTTTAAAGGACTGCGGATCATCAAACTTTACTTCCAAAGCTTGAAACGAAATATATATATATATATATATATATATATATATATATATATATATATATATATATATATATATAAGTGTAAGGTAGCAATGCTTATGTCTTTACATTCGTATTCGTTTGACACTCTAAATCTATCTCTCTTGCTGTGAACAGTCCATTATATCTTCTTACAAATTAGTCCTTTCTTCTCACCGTCCTTTACTACTGTATCTGTTAGTCCCTGCGGTTTTATTTCCCCGTCTGATATCAATACAGTACCATCTGCCTGCTTTATGTTGTTAAGACTATTTTGGTAAATAACAAACCCAGGTAGGGCTTCTAGTTTACTTTAGATCGCATTTCTATGCAAATTAAATAAATCCGGCGGAAAGAATTATCATTGTCTTACACCTCTTTCTAGTTTTGTATACTTACTCAATCCATTTTTATCTGTATTCAGGCGATTTCTTCCCAGTAAATATTTCCAAATAAATAAAGTTTTCCTAATAGTTCAAATATTTCTTTCTGTTATCGCTTATCAAATGAAATATGGAGAGATGGCATTCTGCTTTTGCACTGTTTGCTACTAAAGATCGAATACCTTGATAAGGTGTGACGTTTCATAAACAACTTACGGCCATCGTTAACTCTTTTCAATGAAAGAAGGTAGAAATCGAGATATATCGCTTACATTTTGAACAGTTCGTGTTTTGAAATTTACATAGATGGGATGTATGTACATAAATGTACATACATGCCATCGTAGTGGTACAGGTTTTTTCTAACCTGACAAATTACCTTATGGGGCAAAGTTATTTTAACACGTTTTCGCCAAGTGTAAAACAAATCTTATAGATGCGGGTTGCCGTTGTTTGATGTGAAGGGCCTCCAATATTTTTAATTTTTTTTACAGCTGGAGAGGGCAGAGTACAGTTGTTTAAACGACGGATAACTGTCTAAAAATGCTATAGTTATACTGCATTCATGTATTCTCCAGTCGCTATGATAATAGCTCTGGGTTTAAATTTGTTTTAAACTGTTTTTATTTGTGCGAAAGTAAGAGGAACGAACCTGACTGGAATACGAATTCGGTTCGCCTATTTCATGATCCGATCCGGAAACCACTGACCTAATGTAGCGCTATTTTAGAGTGACAAAAATTCGAGCAAGTCTTAAAATCTTCTTGAGATTTGCCTAAAATAACACAAAAAGACAAAATAGACAACAGAGAACAAAAAATTGGTAATTGTAAAAAAAATGGAGAATATATATATTTTTAAAGAGTATTTTCTGCAATTTTGTACTATGTGTAAAGTTGCATATTTTTATTTTATCTTTAAACTTTCGTTTTTCTCTCTTAGGCAGTGACTATACATTGAAGTATCACCAATAAAAAACAATATGCATTCACAAAAATCAAATAACATCTGTAGAAAACATTAGGTATTAGTTACAGTATTATGCGAAAAACAAGACGCAATTTTACAAATGGAGGATACTATATAATTAACTGGAAAAGAAGAAAAAAATAAACGAGACTTTACGTCGTTTCGCGCTGAAAGTATTAGTTTTCATGATGAATCGAAGTGTTTCAAATGCATCTGTACTGAAGTTACTTTAATTTAAAATTTCGCGATTTTCATCAGTTGTTCCATTAGAAACTTTTTCATCAACAACTAGAATTATATTCAATATCCTTAACTTTTCTTCTTTTTTCCTATCATTTATTATGACTTTTTTGTATTCTAGAAAAAAAAGGCTAAAGTTTAAATTAAAAAAAGACAAGTAAACTTGTAAATAGAAATAAAAGTATTTCAATTCTAATTTTGATCTTCTAAGTCTTCCATTTGTACAGTTTTTTTTCAGTACTACTTAAGTATATTAGTCCATTCACCCAACCACGTAAAACATTTTCAGTGAATAATTCTTGTTAATTAATATTCCTTACTCTCAAACCAGGACATTTACCAGAAGCGAAAAAATAATTCTTTTTATCGATTCAAAAGGGGGTTAATAATCGATAAATTGTAAAATCTGTTCCGGTATTTTTTTTATAGAATATCTGGGTCTAGCTGTTCTGTGTTCATCCTGGTATGGCGATAAACTTCATCCGACAGAAAAGCCTATGATCGGTATGTTTTGGGGAGCGTGGAAAAACTCTGAATGGCTGTTGTACACAGGTTCATTATGATCAGAGGTGGTAGCAACTGTTAGGGTCCCAGCTATGGGCAAATAGTTAACCTCAAACTTTACGGCAAAACACTATGAATTTACAAAAATACATTTTTATAGTAAAAATACCAACAATACGTTTTATAGTAAAAAATATTACCAGCAATACATTTTTCTCTATAAATATGAACAGCAATACATTTTTGAAAAATATATTTACAGGAGTATATTTTTGACAAAAAAGATATTACCAGGAATAAATTTTGTGATAAAATAATAATAATAATAATAATAATAATAATAATAATGATAAAAATCTAAAAAATGTGGCATATGGGAACATCAACAATCCCTGTTGTAGTTGGAGCCCTAGGATTGGTTGGAAAAGATTGCAGTAGACTAATTAAAGGGATATCTGGAAGTCCATGCCTCAAAGAGATACAAAAAATTGTCCTGACAAGTACAGTCCCCACTTTACGAGGGGCTTTATGTAATTTTTTTTTTTTTTCATGATGCCATTTCTAACCTTAAGTCCCTGGGCGGGACCCGGAAAGAAATGTGTAACCGCCAGAAATCAAAATAATAATAATAATAATAATAATAATAATAATAATCAGCATTAAATGACACATGAGGAGTTAGTATGTCTCTAAAACACAATCAAACCTGCTGTTCAACGTAAAAGAAGAGACTTTTTTGCAGCAAGGTCTGCTAAATCTGTCATTAAAAAAAGTTGGTTCCTTCTGTCATGTTAAACAATTTTTCTCGCCAGAATCTCTCTTGCACAGGTTGAAGTCTATCATTCGACTATTCATTGAATATTGCTGAAAGATCTGATGCTATTGCTATGCAGATATATATTCTTGATAAAAAGAATACGCAATATTATTGGTCTTGAACTGGAATCTCGGCTTAAGTTACTTTTTTCTGCCGTGGCATAGCTTCTCTGTGCATTTTATCTTAACATAATTTTTCTGATGATATTTTCGCATTGGTACCTAGACATTATGAATTAAAAAAAAACCCAAGATTGACTGTAAGGTCTCATCATTTTACAGGGGAAAAGCCGAGATTCAACCGTAAGTTCTTTGCTAACAGTTTCTTCTTTCGTACTTCCCGTTTGTGGAACGTTTTGCTTCTTTTTGCTTCCCAATCATTTTTGATCTCCAAAAATTTAAATACAATGTCAGTCGTTATTTCTTGTGTTCCTAATTCTTGTGCTTTT